TAATAAATTACATATACAAATAATCAAAAACCCTAATACTAATCATCATTATATAATCTACACTGCTCTTCGCTCTAACTATATACATAACACCCCTACGCTTAATAAACTTGAAGCATTAACGCTGCACAATATCGTCTTCCTTCACGTTTTTCTTGTGGAATTATGTTGACCTGGGGTAATTTTAATAATTTTTTTTAGCTAAATTGTTTATGTTGTGATTAATTTTAAGATGTTTAACGTGTACTGAAATTTTTCACGTCTTTATCTAGGACAAGATGAACCAATTGTCAACCATGATCGTACGGCGTCCTTCGAAAGTTCACTTGTGTGATTTTGAAACCGATATTTTTTACAAGACTTGACGATTCATCTACAGAATTCAATTTAAAAGGTTTTTCTGTTTGTGCTTCTGACTGGCCTAATGTAACAGCGTTGATAGTTCCAGAAGTTATGTGTGTGTTACCTAGAAGAGGTGTTTCACGTGAACATGGATCAAGAACATATGGATTTGGTGTTCTGTACACACATGCAACAGTCATAACTGAATTGTACGTACACTTGGGATGGTGAGCCCATAAAGATTCTCGGAATAAAATGATGATGCGTTTTATTTTATTTCGTATGTTTTGATGATGTGTATTCCTCACTTAAATCAAACCAAAACAACCCAATTGGGGGTTCCTTAAGGAAAATCCCTTGATGGTATAGTATATCTCTGGAAATAACCCAATGGAGAAATGCATGCTTTGGGATTCCTTAGGAAAATCAAACCAACTTGCCCAACACTACACGAAAAACGGGCTTTAGTAACGGCTGAAATCTACTATCTAACGATATTATAGTGTTTAGTTAAGCGCTCTATTATCACCCGCGATAATAGTTCTATAACAATTTTATATGCTGCTAAATATTCTATAATAACGCTTTCTTTTTGTCATTAATAGTATTATTCATATCAATCTAGAATTAGATTTTTAATTTTTAATTTTAATTTTGATTTTTAATTTCTAATTTTTAATTCTAAAAGCTTCAATTTTAATTTACAAAGATGACGATCAAAACAAAATTTACAAAGATAAAATAATTATCATTAGTAGTAAAATATTTTACAAAGACAACAACAACATATTAAATAAGTAAATCACTTGCAACAGAAATGGAATTTATCAAACTAGATGAAGTTAGCTTCATCTTCTCGTCCAGTTCCTTTCTATGCTCCATCAAAATCCTTTTCAAGAGCCTCTTTCTGAAATATAAAAGGAAAAAAAGACAATCAGATCAAAATCCTCACCTAAACCAACCAACGAATGCAAGTAAAGATAGTCAGAAAAGTATATAAGTGATAAAAATAAACTCAACAGTTAAAGTTTTGAAATCATGCTAATGTCAATTGAGTGGTACGAATTGAGGTTGTGATAGAAAAACTATACGAAGAGTGTACAAAGTCAAGTGTGAAGATGATACAAAGACAGAAAACAAAGGGTCAAGGTCTGGAACTTCAGAAATGAAATTAAGGCAGCAAATACAAACAATTAAGCCAGCTTTCAAGTAGCCATTTATGAATAATAGAATAAAACTACAGCATATAAACTTAAACAATTACATCTAAGGCTCTGCAAGATACTGAGAAACAATTTAATCAAACATCAAATAGTGAAGTCGAAACCTCAACAATCTAACAATCCAAAAAGAGGCCAACAAAAATTAAACTCTATTAGATATTTAGATCAAATCTCAAACTAGATCTCTTAGATTCATACACACACAAAAACCAGCTGATGTTGCTTGATTTCTATCTATGTTTATTTTCATTTCTCACAATCTAGGGATGTAAAAAGCCATCACCATAATCAAAGAACAGGATAAACACAAGCCGCGAAATTGATGAAATCAGAAATGAAAACGATGAGAACGATACGATATAATTACTGTGACCTAAAGATAAAACACAGAATCACAAAAATCAGGGTCCGATCTAAATCAAAGAGCTGAAATACACAACACGGAGATCTAGAATCAAAATAACGAGATCGGGAGCCATGCTTAACGAAAATGAATGGAAATGAAAGAGATGAGGAAAATCCAAATAAGACCTTGCAGGGACGACCCTTGATGATGATGTGACCACCTTTACGGATGTTACCGGCCTGATGGGGATACGTCTTGGAATCTTTGGCATCACTGGACTCGAAGTGGTGCTCTTAATCCGACGAAGCGAGAGAACAACGGAGATGGAGGTAAGAGAAGAAGAAGAGATTTGAGAATCTATGGCGGAGGCCTTGCTATCTCGCAGAAGTGATCCCTTTTCTGGCGGCCGTGAGAGACACTGCTGACGCGGGAAGGGCGATCAGCACAGAACGAGAAGGCGGCTAGGGTTGGGTTTTGAGAGAGTAATCGCCTCTCAAAGGAAAGAGAGAAAAAAGAGTAAACCCTAAACCATTTCTTCTCGTAGTATATTAATATTTAGGTTTTTGACTTAGTGAAAAATTTTAGAAGGCGGAGTCTTAAAAAATTTTAAGCGTTTTACTATGTCATAGCGTTTAAGTGTCATATGTGCTATTAATATCATGCTATAATATCTTAGACCAAAAAAAATTAGAGCCTTCTTTGTTTTTTTAATCTGACAAACAAATCGATAGCGTTTGAAATTCACAAACGCTATATAAAAATAAACGTTAAGTCAAATATAGCACAAATACATAGAACGCTATCTTTTAATGCTATTAATAACCAATATTCTTGTAGTGCAAGAGACTGGAGGACCAGAAGGGTGAAGAGCATCCCACGATTTTAATACAGAAAACATCTCCGACACACTGACTTGATCTAATTAATCTCCATTTGAAGGCATCTGGCCGAGAAAAATTAATGCAATCGACAGAGGGAATAACAACCTTCATGAGCACCGAGATGTGATGTCTACCCCTCGGTAAGAGCCATGAGATATCTGAAACCACTTCACTAACCGTGAGTGAATGCTGAAGACCCAGAACTCTAGGGCCATTTGAACCAGTTTACTCAATCAATAGCCCTACCCTTGTCCAATTGTTGAGCCAGAACTTTGCCTCTTCTCCCAAACTCACTGTACAACACAGAAACGGTATTGGTAGGGGACAAAGTTTAGGAGTCCTATCCATAACCAGCTCTTAGAAGAATCCACCAAATAGTCCTAGAAGGACCACCCTTGGAGTATAACCTTCTTTACCCAATATACCCAAAGTGACCCACCTTTCATAAAGAGAAGCTATATATGCTTGAGACCAAACACCTTATTCCAAGCATCAAGTCTTCGGAGACCCAAATCTCCAGCTTCCTCTGAGGTGCATATTGAATCCCACAAAACTTTTGCTCCACGAGCTGAAGCATAAGCACCCAACCTTATAAAAAGCACACTACATTCTCTCCAATTCTGACAAGCAATCTTTTGGTAGAGGAAAGACCACCGCCCAAAAATTGATGATTACAATCATACTGATTTTTTAAGCTGCATCCGGCCAGCAAAGGAAAGATGTTTGACCTGCCAAGAGGAAATTCTTCGTTTAATCCTATCAAGAAAAGATTGATAATCCTCGGGCTTCATTTTATGAGGCAAAAATGAGAGACCGAGGTATCTCATTGGCAAATTACCATGAAAGAGGCCATACCGATCCGAGAGGCTTTGGGTTAAAGAGCCATTACCGCCATCCAAAAACATAGCATATTTCCTCAGGTCAATAGTTGGCCCAGGGCTTAATAAGAACGACTAAAAACCTGGCCCTTCAAGAGATCTGTCAAAATCATCAAATAACACCGATACATCATCTGCAAAGCTCAAATAAGTTATAAGAGGATCTTGACACATCAGATGTGAGCGATCGTTTTAATGATTTGACTAAAACTTGAATCACTAGGAACATGATTTGGCACTAAATACCTTTGGTAATTGTACTCATTTTGGGTGGTGTTTCAATGTTCTTATTACCCTAATATTGTCACCACCCTCACCATCTCTTCTATTTTGACTGGTGGTTTCATGTAGCATCTGGACTCAAAAGAAGCGTAGGCCAGAGGATCCATATTAGATAGCTCTTATGCTCTTTAGGTGGATATTAAAATTGGTTGTTCTGGCACCACATTATAAACATGGGCCGATCACATCTTTGAAAGATGTTTGTGCGAGATTAAGGGTATGAAACAATCATACATGAGAGTTATGATTCACGCATGTTTCAGATAGTGTACTTATGGAATAAAAGTCGTGAAGGATAGCGTTTATAAAAAATTCAGCCAACCTTATCAGATACTCGTATATGCGAAACTTAATGGATAACCTTTTTCGATTTTCTCTTCATCTATACGCTTATTCAGATTTCTATTTTTAAATAAACTTGTCTTCATGATTGATAATCAAATCGTGGATGATATAAATTTAAAAGTTTCAAACCGGCAAAAATATATGATATGATATGAAGGAAAAATACATGATATGAAAGTATTAATCGATAAAAAAATTGATTTAATCCAGACTCCTTTGTATAATTGTTTCAGAATACTCCCAATCTTTTAGTTTTTTTAATGATCTTTTTATATCGTTTTAGAAAAAAAATAAAAATTTATTTGTACTTTCGTACTGATATAAACTAATATAGAAATTCGATCAACATTGGAATCCACACAGGGTACGTGCCAAACTCATTAATACAAACTTAAAAATAAAACTATTAAACTAAGAAAGTAAAATTATCAAACAAATTATTCTTAAGAAATAGTATATAAAACATCTATGAATATGAACATAAATTAAATCTGTGGAAAGCGCGATCTCAGCCCTCGTGATTATATAACAAGAGTCACTCGAGTTTATCAACCTTGATTTAGGTTGCTATTTTGTAATAACGCCATTACAGAGCTGATCATCACCACTATATTGGCAAGAGTATGCATATTTATTATTCATTCATGCAAGAAATACCTGAACAAAAAATGATCAACAGAGAATATCAACCTCTTCAAGTAAATCCATTATTCATTATTTATAACCATTGAAACAGTTACATAATCTACAGGAAACAAATAAATACAAAGCGATTCCAATGATCTGACATTAAATTTGAAAGTACCAAATTCACCTGAGTCGTTCTATGTACATAAAAGGGGATCAATGATCATTAACAGAATTCACAAGTCAGAACCAATAAAGAAAATCACTTTCAAGCTTCTAACACATCAGCGAGACAACCATCATCTTGGGCAACACGTTTCAGATCAATGATAAATTGATCTCGAAGAAACCCGAAACCAAAAGTCCCGTTCTTGTACAACCAGACCCGCCCTTCCCCTCTGGAAAAACCACTGCCATTACCCACTTCTCCCGGCAACACCAGATCATAACTAGAGCTCGTGTACAACATTCCAGATACGACTTCTTCATGAACTTCTTCGAGGAGAGGAGTGGTATGGATTCGACCATCCAATATCATCTCTTCTTCAACTGAAAACGGAGATCTGATAAAAGCTTGATTCGGTGTCCAGAACACAGGAGAAGTGTGCCGTGAGAGTGACAAGTCCTCTACTTTTCTGCATATAATGCCTCCAACTTCATCATATTTCACCATATATAACTCGAGGCTCCCCTCACAAAATCCCTGCCCAGTTCAGGAATCATTCACAATGAGCTGATGAAACTTAACAACACAAACCACTCATCATTAAAAGAAATGATCACTGCACCATTGTGAAGATTGTTCTTTTCATTCATCCCCTTTGAAATGAGGATCTTAGCTACAAATTAACTAGCTTTTTCTCACAAACATTATCAATGATTATACTATAGCTGAAATCAACTTGAAGAAGTTGCAGAACCAGACCTTCCATAGGCCCTGTAATGGTTTAGTAGGCGTAGGCGAGAAATCAGCAACCTTAATAAAGTGTTCTGGTTCCCACTTGATCCTTGCTTGTCTCTCCTTCTCCTTCTTCCTCTGTCTCCTTCTATCACCTCCTGGGCTCGTCCTATTCGCCAATTGAGTATACATTTCCGAAACAACAAAGCTAGGCGATGTCATATCATCGCTCTCGTCGTCTCCGGAGCTAGATCCTTTAGAAACCGGACTCTTCTGCTCTTCTCGAAAACATCGATTCTCCTCCACCAAGATATGACCATTTCCCATGAAATTCACATCCACTGGAACGAGATTGCCTCTCGAATCACCTAATTCGTTTAGATCAGTGGCAACAGATCTGAGATTACCATCGAGATCAAGGAAATTCTCAGTTCGTCCCTCCGAAGAAATCCGCATCACGAGAAATGGCGTCTTTCGTACCTGATATGTGTCATCGTTAATGGCTAAAACCCTAGATCCCAAGACGAAAGAGGAACCCCACTCGAAGAAAATCAACGGCGGCGATGAACCGGCGGGATTTGCTCGGCCGCATAGTCGCCAGAATCCAATCAGATTTTCTAATCCTTTCAGAATCTTGTATAGGAGCCGATATGCGATTCGACCGTTTCCCCATTTCTGGATCTGCGTTTTTTTTCCCCATCTCCGATCGCACATAACGTGCCAGATTTTTCTGTCTTCACCACATAACGAGGCGAAGCGTTTTGAAGTGCAGGCGAAGCTGGATATCTCTGTCGGTGAGAGGAAGGACAAGACGCGGAGCTGGAGATCCTCCGGGATTTCGCAGAAGGGAAGTGCCATTTTTTCTCAGATTGAACTTTCTCGGGAAAAATAATTTGAGTGTTTGGCAGATAACAAAGGGTGAGGATGAAAATCAGAGATTTTTAGGAAAATGAGATAATCGGATTTTTAGAATTCTCAGAAAAATATTCGTCAGACAAGAGCGAGATTCATGGTGTGAAACAGATTGGTCTGCCCCGAGTTTTACGTTTTGCAAATTGAACGTTTTGCAAATTGAATCTAACCGATCTGTGAAATACACGTTTATTTCTTACTAAACAAAAATAAGTAAGTACGTTTTAAAACATCGGCTGTTCAGTCATCCGTCTAGGTGATTTTTTTGAAATTTGGTGATTTTTTTGAAATTTGGTGATTTTTTTGAAATTTGGTGATTTTTTTGAAATTTGGTGATTTTTTTTGGAAGCTTGGTGATTTTTTAGAAGTTTGCAACTCTCTATCCTTTTCCTTCTCACTAAAATTTGCAGTCTCGATTAACTCCGATCTTTTTGTTGGCCATTGTGTGAGGAATATTATCATTAGTCAACTATTGATCCAGATGATCACTAAGTATGATTAAGTGTGATAATAATAGGATTGGAGCGAGATTTCTGTAATTTAAAAAAGATTTGGCTTAGAAGAAAGAAGTTGACTTCAAAATGAACAGGTCGGTGATCGTATTATTTATATTAAATAGCTCGAGTGTTACAAGTGGTTTATCAAGATAGAGAAATATATATTTAGAGCTAAAAAAAAGTCCCTTCATAAATGAGCTTCTTCGAACATTTATAGCCCGGTTAAACAGATAGATCTCCGCGTATTCAAGATAACGTGGCAGCTGCAGCGTTTTTAAGGGATATAATACTTGAGCCTCGCTCTCGAGCTGCTCCTTGGCGGAAAGGTAATGCTCGGCGCCGAACTACTGTGCAGATATGGCACTATTGGCAAACTGCTTCTCCATGTGTCGATTCTTGTCCGGTTTGGTCACTTTAGCTCGGCGTGACATCCGTACAATAAACCTTGCTGACTGGATACGTTTGACTTTTTCCTTGATTTGACTTTCTTGACCAGGCCTTAATTTCAAAATGGGCCGAGCTAATTGGGGGGGGGTGCTAAGCCCACCTCCAATAATAGCCCCCCCAATTCGGTGTTTGAGGAGATAATTGAATACACCAAAGTCTCTTTGATCTTTCTTAGCTCGGCACATCTTAGCTCGGTTTGGAAAATGAACCTAGGGCAATTGTTTCATGCTTTCGTGTTGGGCGGGAAAATGGAATTATTTTTCCCGCCTGGATTCTCGAATTTCCCACACGTATTCCCTATGCAAAGACACCAAAGAAATGTCTCCCGCTTTTTACCTTTTTTTGCGGAAATCGAAGTGGACACCAAAGCAGCACCATCGTTAAAGTTTGCTCGGTTATTGCACCCTTTCGCCAAGTGTCAAACCGATTGCTTTGTTGTCTCTTTCCTCTCTATTTAAACCCTCCTTTCCTCTTTTCTTCTCACTTGCATAAGAAAAACACAGGTATTCCTCTTTTCTTCCTCTCTTATGATTTCATTTCCATTTGCTGTGATTTCGGCTTTTCTCCTTTCTCGGATTCCTCCGATTTTTTCTTTGCTTTCCGTGATTTCAGATTCTCTTCTTTAATTGTTCTTGTTTCTCTGGTTTTGGGCATCTCCTTCCTTCGATTTTCTGCTTTGCCATTTTCAGGCATCTTCTTTCCACATTCTTCGACTGTTCTATGATGGCGTCACTATTCTAGGGGATCAGAGCTGAGTCTGAATCTGATTCAGCTTCTCCTGAGGATTTCAGTGATACAAACCCAAAAAGTTCTTTGCCTGGAGCACACAACGTCGCCCCGACGCGATGAGGAAGATGAAGCCAGAGAGCTCGCCTGAAGGAGATCGAGATCAGGAAGTTTTCCTCCGGCGGAAGCCGAGCTGGTCGTGGATGTCAAAGCCGTGGAGGTGGGCGGACCACTATAGCTCGGAAGCTCCGGGCTCAAAAGCCTCCGAAGGTTTCTTATTAGGATGGAGGCTCCAAGAGTTGGAGTTCGATGCAGAGCGTAAAGGTGGTGCTCTCCAAGTGCGGGGCCCCTGCAGATATCGAGATTAGGGTCCCTGATGAAGTTTATCGTCCTTGGACTCCTCCTGCGAGGTTTGTTTGCCTCTACAAAGCTTTCTTCACTCAGTGCGGGCTACCTTTCCCCCTCCCCGAGCTGTTCGTCTCCTACTGCGAAAAACGACAACTGGCTTTTTTGCAGATTTGTCTGACCACTGTCCAGGGTATCGTTGTGCTGCTAACCCTGGGTTCTGAGTGCGGGGTTGATGTGACTCGCCATCTCTTCAAGGACCTATGGATTCATAAGGGCATCCCGGCGACCCCAGGGATCTTCTACGCCTCCTTCAAGCTGGCTGTGGCGAGCTTGTTGCTGATAAGCCGAGCAAGGTCGACCACTGGGAGCGCAGCTATATATTCGTGCCGGCTAACAAGACGACCGGCCTCGGTGTGAGCATGAGATACAAGACTCAGTGGAATCTCTCTCCTGGTAGGGATTCGTAGATCGGGTAATTTTTAAAATTTTCTGCTGTTGTTGACTTCATTGTTTTTATTTACAATCTGCACACGGTAGCTCGACCATTGGACGCTTACTCCGAGATCCTAGAAAAGCTCAGGTCAGCGGATCAAAGGTCGTGGAAATCTTTTATTTCGACGATCTGGACAACTGAGGATCAGAGGACCGAGCTGCCAGACATGGTCCCTGATTTGACTTTCACGTCGGATCAGGTTGAAAATAGCTTCGAATTTCACTACCGGAGTACAGCTCTTGCCGTTCCTCAGGACAAGCTAGTGTGTGCTGAGCTAGCTCAAGAAATGACCTATGGAAGGGATATATCGTCCGGTTGCGGACTTGGCTGAGTCGGATATATTTCAGAATGTGTCCCAATCTTTGGCTCGGGTAAGTTATATGAGTAAGTATATATGACATATCACTCCTTTTCCCTTTTTTTTTGAAAAACTCAGGTATCTATGCAGGCAACGATCTCCATGATCATTTTTACAGAGCAGTATGAGATATGATTCGATGCAGTTCGGGCAGATTATGAGACGCTTTAGAAATGCACCGAGCTTGGTGAGCAAAAAATGTGTGGCCAGATCCGCGAGCTGAAAAAGGAACTGATGGAGGAGAAAGTCCGATATGCCTTGATGGAGGACAGGCTGAGCTGGAGTTGGAGAAGGCTAGGTCGGCCGTACTGGAGGAGAAGCTTGTTCTCTCGAAGGCGGAGGCTGAATAGGTCGTGCTCAAGTGGAATACAATCCAAGGTGAGGCAAACCACCTCAGGGCCGCGATACACTCCAAGGTGAGACAAGGCAAAGGCTTACATGAAGTATGAAAATGATAAGATCAAGACGAAGTGGGCAGCAATGGGTTAGAGGTGGGCGGCCAAGCTCGAGAAGATCCGAGCTCACTTGGCTGGTCGTGACCAGGCGTTGGACTGGCACCTGCTGCTGAGTTAGGTGGTGTTGATATGTGTATATCGACAAGGGATAAAACAGTAACTTAGATCGAAAATTCAGATTTTATTAGATCGGTCGAAAATACAACTGAGTTCGTCTATGTAAATCATAAACGAACTAAGACTTAGGAACTTAAGAAGCTAATGAATGCCTTGAGCTCTCAATCTCCAAGTCTCTCGAGAATTTTCTGTGTCTTCTGGTGTCGATTCCTCTTCCTTTATATATGTCTCCTAAGTCGGTCTTCGTGAGTCTTTTCTGCGATATGGGACCGAGAAGACTTTCCTTTTCTCTCGGCCGTTTTCCTTTTTCTACTTGGAAACTTTCCTTTTTCCTCCGAACTTAGAGAACTTCTCGGTTCTTTTGAGAAGTTTCTGACCGACTTCGGCTTGATGGGCTGCGTTCGGCCCAAGAACTCACTCGGCCCAATATTCCCGGTACATTTCCTTCGTAAACCGGGCTTACGTCGTGCCGATCTCGGTTTATACTGGAGAAAACCGGGGGTGCGGTTTTCACCTCCAACAGTTAGCCCCCCCTCAGTTCGATGAAAGGGTATGGCTTTTAGTCGAACTCATTCGATCTAAACCTAAAAGTAGGTCGCAAACCGAGCTCGGTAACTACAATCGATTCACCTTCCCGGACATTTTGCACCCTATCTTCAATGAGGCGCGTGAATCAAGGAACCACGATTCCCACTGTTTATAAAGGAATAACTTCTTCTCGCATTCATTATTCTCGTTCAAGCATATATAAGGTACGCTGCTCTCCCTTCTCTCTAGATTTTGTTTTTCTCTCTAGGTTTTTATTCGTAGTTCTCTCTAGTTTCTTCTTCAACTTTTTCCGATCAATCTTCAAGTTTTCCGATCAATCTTCAAGTTCTCCGATCGATCTTCAATCTTTTCCGATCGATCTTCAAACTGTTCTTCATTCTCTTTAGATCTCCCTTCGACTCTATTTTTCGAGCTCAAGATGTCTTCTAGCTCTTCGATCAACTCTTCCTCTAATCAAATTCTGCCGGAAGATCGTCGTGAATCTTCGGACCCGAGCTCTTCTTCTTCAAATCCTCATTCACCGAACTCTTCCCAGCGGGAGAGTAATCCTCCGCAGCTGGTTCGCAAAAATTCTAGAACGGCTGGTGCAAATAGTAGCCGATCTCGACCGCGAGTTGAAGCGCCCGAGCAACTGGCTACAAGGACTCGTGAAACCGGAGCTCAAGTCGGGCCAAACGTTGGTGGCGTTAATCACGAGATCGAGGAGGTTGCGGAATCTGAAGAAAGGAATCCCGAAGGAAATGATTCTGAAGTAGAAGTTGCCGTAGACAACCTCGAGGCGGTGAACCACGCATCGCCACCGATGCCAAAACGAAAAGTCGTCCATCCTCATGACGTGCCATCTTCTTCTCTTTCTCCAGATGCAGTTCGGGCCGTACTCGAGGATTACGGGCTCTCAGACAGCGTCATATTCATCATACCCGAAGCTGGAGATCGGTCATGGGACGTTCTTGAGGGCTTTCTTTGTATCTACTTGACCTATTTCACGCAATGCGGGCTCACTCTCCCAATTCCCTCTCGTCTTATCGGATATTGCAATCGGCGTGGAGTAGCTCTTACTCAGATGATGCCGGCATCGATGACGAACTACGTAGGCTTTGTCACCTTATGTAACGAGCTCAGCGAAATTCCTACTAGTCGGCTCTTCGAAGACTACTTCTCGGTCAACATCCACAAGTCTAAACCGTGGTTCTTCGCAGCAAACGCTAAGCCGAAAAAGGACATCGTTACTGGGGTCAAACCCAGTAAATATAACGACTGGGAATCCCAGTACTTCTTTCTCGAGATGAACGATCTCACAGTCGACAATTCCGACATTCCAACTCAATCGGAGTGGAAGATTCCGATCTGTAGATTTAGACGATCTTGCACTTTATTGATTTCAATTCTCATATTTCTTCTAACTCTTTTTTTTATGTTTATCTCTGCAGGTCGTCATCTCCCTAGCATCCTTCTCAACTCCGGACTCACCTCTGAATTCCAGTCTGCTTTTAGTGAAGCCGGCAAACGTCGTTGGCCTGAAGTCTGGGAAGAAATTCTACAACGCCGAGCTAAGAAATCAGGTTTGATTAATAAGTTTGTTTTTATCTTCTTATTATCAGTTTCCTCCGAACTCTCCTTTAACACATTTCTTTTACAGCTTCTGTCATGGAACCGAAGCCTCTGAAGCCAAAAAGTCGAGCTAACAAGCCTCGAGCTGCTCCAAGATGGAAAGTGCCAAAACCGCAAGCTAGACGAACTCGATCTGCAAGAATGCTTTCGCTTGACGAGATCCCTACTCTGTTCGATGAGGAGGAGCCGAACGATGCAGCTCCGAATCCCGTTCCTGCTGCTGAAGGGATTAATGAGCAGCCCGAAGAACTGCCGCTAGTTGTGAACTCGCCTGACCAAGTCAGTCAGAAGAAGCTGAAAAAGAGGAAGTCCTCAAAGAAGGTTAAGAGGATCGAAGACTCTTCTCGAGTGCAAGATGCTACCGCCGAGCTCGACCCTCCATTGGCTGCAACATCAGACCTTGCTGTTCCTCAGGATCGAGCTGAAACTTCCAACACCCGGAAAAGGCAAGAAAGAGGTCGTGCCAGAGATTCTCCGGAGCCAGAGCCGGCAAAGAGGGCTAAAGTCTGCTTCGACTATGATGAGGAGACTCCTTTTGAGGAGAATGTCGATGCGCCGACCTCTATCACAAGATCTCGACTGAGGTCCCGAGTCTCCCGGCAATCTCCGAACTCTGATTTCCCAACCTGTACAAAGGGATCGCACGTACAACTGCCGTGGTAATTTCCTGATTCCATTTCTATATATTTTTCTTTTTTCCCTAAGTATGAGTTCTGATTTAATTCTCTTTTTCGCAGCTCGCCAGCCAGACAAACAATTTGGTCGCAGCGTATGAGGTTGCTCTGTATGACGAGCAAGTGAGGGTCGCCAAGCTAGAAGAAAGGATTTATAAGGCGGAGGAGCGTCTTGCCACCGAGCTCCAAATTGACGATACTCTTCACACCAGTGTTGACCTGCTGAAGCAGGAGAGTTCAGAGCTGAAAGCTGTGAGAGCCGAACTGACCGAGGCGCATGGCTTACTTTCTCGGGAATTCGAGAAAGATAAAGAATGACTGCAAGGTTTGGTGGCCTATTGGAAAAGTCGAGCAAAGAGCGTTCATGCGAAGGCTTGCAAACACCTCGAAAAGATTATCCGCAGCTTGGATGTCGCTGATCGGGCTCGTAAGCCTTACCTGGTGGTCAACCAGCTCACCGGAGTTCTCGGCTTCATCAAGCAGTTGAAGATGAAGGGTTTGTACGAAGTCCCGCCCAAGATGGTGGCTGATATAGAGGCGAAGCAAGCTAAGGCACTGCAAGACTTCCGTTCGGTTGACGCTTGTGTTTTCGCAGAAGAGGATAAACGAATGTCTCCGTTTCCAGAAGAGGATGATGATGCTCCGGTTGGGAACGTGACTCAAAGTGCACATGATCCGGCGAGGGGTGAGCAGTTCGGCTCAAATGATGATATACTCAATGCCGATCAAGCTGCGACTTCTAGGACTGCTTAGTTTTTTTCTTTTTTCTTTAAGTTTAACTCAATCACCCTTTAATGGATATGTAATATTTTGTTTATTTCTGAACCCTCGGTGGGTTTCTTTATTTTTCGAACTCATTTGCCTTTCAGACTCATTTGCCTTTAATTATATGCTTATTTGTTTTATCTTGAGTATCTTTTTCTTTATTATTTCGTAAAATCTATCAAGTAGTAGATCGATGTTTAGCTCGAACTTAGTTTAATCTTTTGGTAGCGAATTGCGTTAATTCGGCTTATATGTGCAAGTGTTGAGAACTTGGCTTATAATACGAATCTGAGGAGTTCAGCTTGTTGTGCGAGCATTTGAGCTCGGCCTGGGGAACCCAAGTGAGTCGTATCGTACTGGAAGAGTGAGTTTGATCGAACTTCTGTAAACGCACAAAACGAGTTCAGGGTTTTCTAAGTCGAACCTAAGTATGCGAGATGAGCTCGGCTTATTGTTCTTGGTGACTTAGAATTTTTAATGCGGGACTGGCCCCGACTTTTTAATGTGGTTTTGACCACGACACCATGTGGGTGTTTGCGAGACGGATCTCGGATTTTTAAGTTTGCATTCATGTGGAATGCTATCGAACAACTGGCCAGGAAGTCGATGTTTAAAAAGGAAGTAGGAGTTTGGTATCTCGTGATTACCGAACTAAAACTTAGATGTTTTTAACTTAATAAAACTTTATTGATGTTATAGCTGGACTCGGTAACGAGCTGCCTACGTACCCTTTAAGAGGATCAAGCCATTCGTAGTTCTAAGTACAAAAAGGTTTTTTGCTCCGGACTAAGTAGTTCGGAGACTTTTTATTTTTTTTTTTGTTTTTTTTTTTTTGGTTTTTCGTAGATCTCGTAACGAACTAGTAGTAGTATCGTTTGAGATGCATTGAGTTCCAAAATCGCGGGATCGGGGTTCCGTCGAGCTTCATGAGTTGATAAACGCCGGGTTTAACAACCTTCATTACTTGGTATGGTCCTTCCCAGTTCGCGGCGAGCTTTCCTGCGCTCTTTTCTTCTGTGTTATGATAAACTTTGCGAAGTACGAGATCACCATCTTCGAAGTGACGGCCTTTAACCTTCTTGTTATAGTAACGAGCTGCCAGTTGTTGGTAGTTTTGTATCCGGCGTAATGCTCTTTCGCGATGTTCTTCGACCAAGTCGATTGTGTCGTTATTCGCGTCGGGTTGCTGAGTGAGCATGGTTCGGCGAATACTTGGAACGTTGAGTTCGGCTAGACACATAGCTTCCGTACCATATGCAAGGAAGAAAGGTGATTGACCGGTGGAACGTCGTGGTGTAGTTCGATGGGACCATAAGACGCCATCGAGTTCGTCCGCCCAAGTTTCCTTAGCCGTATCCAGTCGCTTCTTCAGACCATCGATAATGGTTTTGTTCGTGGCTTCGGCTTGCCCGTTTCCTTGTGGGTATCGCGGGATAGAGAAACTTAGTCGAATTTTCCATTTGGCGCAAAAATCTGTGAAATTATTGAAGTGAACTGGGTTCCGTTATCTGTGACGATCTCATACGGGACGCCGTGTCGGCAGATGATAAATTTCCAGACGAACTTTTTGACGTCGATACCGTGTATCTCGGGTATGCCTCAGCTTCGACCCATTGGTGAAGTAGTCGGTAACGACTAGAACGTATTGCTTCTGGGTTGTAGATCGGCGAAATGGTCCGATGATGTCCATTGCCCAATGCATGAAAGGATATGGTGCAGTCGAGGTCATCAGTAGTTCGGTAGGAAGGTTGATCATTGGGCCATGACGTTGGCACTTCTCGCATCGTGCAGTATACTTTTCGCAGTCGAAAAGCATAGTAAGCCAGAAATAACCAGCTTTTTTTATCTTAAATGCCAAGGACCGAGCTCCAGAATGATTTTCTCCTTCTCCTTCGTGTACTTTCTGCATTACTTCCATGATGTCGTTGCCGTGAACGCAAGTTAAGAGTACGCCGGACGCGTCCCATCTGAGGAGAGTGCCTTTAATAACCACGTATCGAGCTGCACAAGCCTTAAGGCGCCGAGCTGCCCATTTGTTTGCGGGAACCGTTCCATCGCCAATGTAGCCCACAATCTCTAAAGTCCAATCTTCGGGCTCATCCTCGCCCTCGGCTTCGATATCAATTGGAACGTGTTGGCCTTCGGATTCGTCTTCGTGATCGGACTCGTTGTTGTCATGACGAGCATGTCGTCAATGTAGACTTCCATAGTTTGCCCGAGCTGGCTTGCGAACATTCGGTTCACCAGGCGTTGGTACGTTGCTCCAGCATCCTTTAAACCAAAGGGCATAACCTTATAGCAGTATATGCCGCGGTCCGTGATAAACGATGTCTTTTCCCAATCTTGTGGATGCATAAGAATCTGATTATACCCGGAGAATGCGTCCATAAACGAGAGTAGTTCGTTTCCGGCAGTTGCTTCCACGAGGCGGTCGATATGAGGGAAAGGAAAGCTGCCTTTCGAACATGCTTTATTGAGGTCGGTGAAGTCGACGCAAATCCTCCATTTTCCGTTCTTCTTCTTGACAACTATGGGATTTGCTAGCCAATCAGGATACTTGACCTCGGTGATGGATCCTGCTTTGAGTAACCGCTCGACCTCATCGTTGACGGCTTGTGCCTTCTCTGGTCCGAGCTTTCGGCGTTTCTGCTTGATCGGCTTGTATGTCGGATCGATGTTGAGCTCGTGACATGCGATTTGTGGATCGATCCCGGGCATATCCTCTACTGACCATGCAAAGGTGGATGAATGTTGTTTCCGGAAGTGAACGAGTGTATCGCGGATACTTGGGTCGAGTTCGGCACCGATGCCGACTTGGCGCTCCGGTCTTAGTTCGACGATGCAGACTTGAGTAATCGACTCTTACTTGGGTTTTGTTTGCTGGACAATGAGCTCGGTCGTTGGACCTTGCGAACTGATGACGCAGGCTTGGTTGGCCGAACGAAGCTTGCATTCGTTTATGTAACATGACCGGGCGACGGCTTGGTTTCCTCGGAGAGTGTAAACATCGTCAGGAGTTGGGAATTTCAGGCATTGATGGTACGTTGAAGCCACTGCCTTCATCGCATGTAGCCATGGTGTGCTGAGAATAGCGTTGTAGATCACTGGTTTGTCAAGAATAAGGAACTGGATGATCTTTGCAACTCCGGCGAGGTAGATCGGGATTTTGACCGTGCCGACCGTCATGCAGCGTTCGCCGTCGAACCCTGTGAGTGGCTCGATGAAGGGCTCAATCTTGTCTGATGGTATGTCGAGCTGGTCAAGTGCGTCCTTGAAAATAATGTTGACCGAACTGCCTGTATCGATCAGAATGCGACTAACTTCTACGTCGTCGAGAAGTAGTTCGACGACGAGGGCGTCGTTATGTGGTTTGTGCAACCCGATTGTGTCGGCTTCGGTGAATATCAAAGGTGTTCCCTTTGACGGATCGTGCGGGAGCTTAGGCGCGTTGGCGGCCTGTCTACTGTATTCCTTAATGGCCCGAACCGAATAGCTGCAGGCTTCTATAGCTCCCATAATCATGTTGACGCGCTTCCTTGCTTTGGGAGTGTGATTTTCTGGCGCACGGTCATCACGATTGCGCTTCGGTTGTTCGGGTAAACCAGGTGGATTCGGTGGAGGCGGCGGTAATCCTGGTAAAACTGGTGGAGCTGGTGGATCTTTGGCCACGGTGTTCTCGGGTGGTATGTTATTCGGTCGAGGCGACTTGCTTTTTGGAACGTTTGAGCGACGGAGATCGTCGAGCGAGATTTGCCTTTTTCGGTACTGCGCGAGCAGGTATTCCCGCAGATGTCTGCAGTCTTCGGTGCTATGTCCTTTACGGTTATGGAATTCGCAGAACAAGGACTCGTCTTGATCTTCTTCACTGCAGACCCACTTATTATTCCACTGTCTGGCCGGTTGCTGGATGGCATTAGTGTAGAACTTCTTGCGATTCTCGTACCCTCTGTTATAGCCCGACTGTGGTTCGTTAGTGGTGGCCTTTGGACGTTCGGGCTGCTTCGCCGAATAGTTCTGCTCATAAGCGGCCTCTTCTTCTTCTTCGGCGATGTAAGTATTAGCTCGGTGTAATGCGTCCTCCAAGGTCTGTGGGGGTTGTGCGTGATCGCGCTCCGGAAACTAGTTTTTATCCGAGCTCCTTTATGGAAACATAAGAGAGCGGCTTCATCACTGATCGTGCAATTGGCGACAATCGTCTTAAAACGCTGGATGAAATCACGGAGGCTCTCGCTTGCTCCTTGGGCTATTTGCCATAGCTCGGAGTTCTTGGTGTTCTGTCCAATGAACATTGAGAAATGTTTAACAAAGGCCGTCGTCAACTCCTTATAGTTATTTATCGAGTTCGCCTCGAGTCGTGATAATCAGTCGAGAGCTATTCCTCCTAGATTCTCGACAAACAGCTGGCACTGGACCGCATCCCTCTCCTCGGCGGATTTGAACTGGTATCGATTCATGCAGATGCCAAATGATGTCAAAAAATGCCGGGGATCGGTATTGCCTTCATAAATCTTGATCTTGAGTTTCTCCATATGTTTGACAGGCGTTCCTGCTATGCGCGGAGTAAATGGTGTCTTTTGTGTTTCCTGAATGACGCGCTCGATCTCCGGGGCCGCGCTCGTTGCTTGATGAATTTTTGAAGTGATCTCGCGAAGTTGTGCCTTCATTGCCTCGAACTCGGCATCGCGACTTAGATCTGGTGGCGCTGGTGCGTTCGCCAATCCGACAGCAGTGGACCGCATAGTTCCGGCTGGGTCGCCATCGGTATTGAGGTTGTCAATGATGTTCCGAACTCGAAGGGGATTCCGTGCTTGACTGAGCTCGGCGATCTGTGCTGCCATCTGACTGAAGCGTTCATCACTGATCGTGCAATTGGCGACAATTGTCTTAAAATGCTGGATAAAATCACGGAGGCTCTCGCTTGCTCCTTGGTCTATTTACCATAGCTCGGAGTTCTTGGTGTTCTGTCCAATGAACATTGAGAAATGTTTAACAAAGGCCGTTGTCAACTCCTTATAGTTATTTATCGAGTTCGCCTCGAGTCGTGATAATCAGTCAAGAGCTATTCCTCCTAGACTCTCGACAAACAGTAACTTAGATCAAAATTTCGGATTTTATTAGATCGGTCGAGAATACAACTGAGTTCGTCTATGTAAATAATAAACAAACTAAGACTTAGGAACTTAAGAAGCTAATGAATGCCTTGAGCTCTCAATCTCCAAGTCTCTTGGGAATTTTCTGTGTCTTCTGGTGTCGATTCCTCTTCCTTTATATATGTTTCCTAAGTCGGTCTTTGTGAGTCTTTTCTGCGATATGGGACCGAGAAGACTTTCCTTTTCTCTCGGCCGTTTTCCTTTTTCTACTCGGAAACTTTCCTTTTTCCTCTGAACTTAGAGAACTTCTCGGTTCCTTTGAGAAGTTTCTGACCGACTTCGGCTTGATGGGCTGCGTTCGGCCCAAGAACTCACTCGGCCCAATATTCTCGGTACATTTCCTTCGTAAACCAGGCTTGCGTCGTGCCGATCTCGGTTTATACCGGAGAAAACCGGGGGTGCGGTTTTCACCTCCAACAGGTGGTAATTGATAACTAAGGGTTTTAAGGCCTTAATAAGGGTTATCAATCCCTTTGTCAAAGTAGTATAAGGGGTGTCAATCCATATGTGTGGTAGTTAGACACTAGTTTATGTGATAAGCTCTTAAGTCAAGTGATCAAAGATGAGTTTTGGTGTGAACAAAGTAACAAGAAAGCATAAAACAAGAAACAAACAAGCTATGATTAATGAACTAAGCAAGCAAACAAAACAAGATGATGATAAAGCAAATAATGAAAGATAAATTTCTAGATATGATCATTGATTAGGGTGCTGTAGATATCAATTCATGATGCTAAGAATAATAATGCAATGCAAGTTACTCTTTAGTCTAGACTTCAGAAGCATATTAATTCATTCCCATGACAATAATCCCTTTGCTAATCACTTAATCAAGTCTAACAACCATTAGATATAATCATGCAATCAACAAGAATAATGCATCAAGCCTAATAAGTGACCAAACAATCTCTCAACCAAGAAGACTGAATCTTACACAGAAAGACATAGCAAGCAATCACATGATCTCAAACATTTCAACTTAGAACTCTAATCTAGACTAATCCTCTCATGAAGGCATTAATCTCTACACTAATCCACTTTCAAACCAAATTCCCATTTGTGAAATATGAACTAATGAGCATTAAAAAACAGTTCTAATATGTCATTTATGCAATTAACAAACATTCCCATGGCATTAATGCATAAACCCTTAGTTAGCTTTCATTTAGGCATTTCATCAAACACCTTGTGGGTGGAGATTTGCCTAAGCTCTAGACCAGAGTGATGTGCAAAGATCTAGCATTAGGAACAGCTAACTAAGGAAATGAAATGAGAATCTAGTCCCTAAGCATCGTAAATCAAACATCTAAGCACCCTAGAAGCTTAAAAGATGACTACTCACTAATCATGAAGAACACATCTAATATTTTGCAAGAGATGATGTTAATCATGATTAGAAGCAGAAATGAGATGATGATGAGAAATGATAAAACAAGATGGAAAACACTCTTCAAATCGATATTAAACTCAAAACAAGGTCTTAAACAATAGTTCTTTCACCAAAAAGGAAAGGAGACTGAGGATAAGATAAAAGTTCTCTCCAAATTAGGTCTAAAAAGTATTTATAGTGGTCTTGGACGAACCGGGTCAGCCTGGAACAAACCGGGTACTGACCCGGCTTTGGTGGGTAAAGATGAGGTTTGCCACGGTCTAGCAGTTCTTGGTCAAGCCGTGGCAAGTGACCGTGTCAAGTCCCGAAGCTTCTGTTCTTGGATGAATCTTGGTGCCACGGGTTCCCTCTGGTCGTGATGCATGGCCGTGTCAAGTCCCGAAGCTCTGAAGGATCCCAAGTGTTGTCTTGCCACGGTCAAGTGTAGACCGTGGTGTGGAGACCGTGTCAAATGCCGAAAGATTGCATCAAGTGCCACGGTCAGATGTGGATCGTGGCAGTTCATCGTGACTTAGACCATTCATCTGTTAGAACGCTTCGGAGGTTGCCACGGCCAAGTCTAAAACTGTGGTGTGGAGACCGTGTCAAACTCCGAAGAACTGCAATCAAGTGCCACGGTCAGATGTGGACCGTGGCATTCCACCGTGCCATCCTTACACTTAGCACAATTTCCACGCTCTTGGTGCTCGAAGGATATGTGTGTCTCTATCCTTCCGGAACTCACGCCTCACAACTCCAAATGGAACGATCTCAACTGTTCTGGAAATAGGACGCAGTTATCTCAAATCTTGATGAAGTCCCTGTGGACTGAATCGGTCTGGAAATGCATCGTCATTCGCAATCTTCGGAGCTCATCGGGTCGGTCTAAAATGGCAGCGAGATGGGCGTGCCTTCCGACGAGCCTAACTTTCTGCTCACATCTCCAAACCGGACGATCTCAAGTGTTCCGGAAACTAGACGTAATCCTCTTGATTCTGGATGAAGACACCGAAGGTTGAATCGCATTTCAAGTCCTTCGTCCCACGCGATCAAAGTGAGGGTTTTGTCTGCACCAAACCATCTGTCCGAGTTGCTGTACACAGGCTAGGGTTCCTCCATGATCCCAGCTCCAAGTTGCTCCAAAAAGTCTCCAAATGATCTGAGAACACTTCAAAAATGCAGGACCTTCTAGGACCTAATGCAAATCCTAGACAAAGCTAGAACCAAGGACAAACTCTAACAAAACTAGCTAAATGTATGCATGAGAATCAATCTTTGGACAAAAAATGCAATCCTTAATATGACAAATTATGAATATATCAACTCCCCCACACTTGTCTTTTGCTTGTCCTCAAGAAAACAAGAACAAATGAGAGAGAGAGGTTGGATGCATGGTAGTTCATATTTCTTTAAAGAGAGATCATCATTAAAAGAATTCAAAGCTCATTGTTCAAGTCACCAATTCTAGACTGCAATGCAAACTGGTTTACTCATAAAAATTAGCCATACTTATCACCAAATGAACCAAACTCAAGCACCAACCTTCACAAGCATTCCTAACCTCAACCTTTTGACATTCATTTAAAGTTTCAAGTGGATCATGTTCATCCAAATCAAGTGAATTCATTTGGCTTGGGACTGGGTTTTGAGATTAAAATGAACTCAATCAAGTAACTGGTACTCCATGCAAGGGGGTCACTCAAAAATTAGTAGACTTTTGTAAAATGCTAAGGGTAAAAAGCAATGGATGCATACAAAGATAGAACTACATCTACCCCACACCCAAAATGCTTTTCACACTCAACTTTAAACCTCTCAAGACTCTTTCTCTAGTCTACTCACCCCAAATGGCATTTTATCCTTGACACTCAATCAGCTCTCATCACTCTCTTCATTTCATCTCTTAGGAGAATGCTTTCTTTAACAACCACTTAGTGAGTTTCTTTTCTTTAACACACAAGCTCTTCTTTAATTCAGCCTCTTTTTGAATCTTTTCTCTTTTCTTTTTTTTTTTTATGAGACTCTTTTCATTTCAACATATGAGCTTTACATTTCAGCACACACTCACTTTCTTTCATTTAAGCATTTATTCCCCTAACCAATCCGGTTCTTTCCACTTTCATCACTCAGATTTTTTTCTTTTCAGCTCACAGACTCAAAATCAATGCTCTCACTTTCACTTAAACCTAGACTAGCCCTTGATGTTGGACTAGTATCTACATGCAGCACTATCTTTGTCGCTCTAAACCCAACACTTTTTACCAAGTCTACTAGAAACAAGGCCTTACAAATCATGCACACAAGAAGGGTATTTAGGCTTCAAAGAAAGGTTTGGCTAAAGGCAGGGAACTGTCTCAAGATGAGAGATCAGCTATTTGAGCTAGCAAGAGTGATAAAAAGGGATAAGAAAGCTCAAATATGTATGTGGTACCCATGAATTCACAATGATATGCACAAACATGATAATTAGATGTCAAATTCAAGGGTTCTCACTTAAGCAAGGTTGAGGCTATTCACAACTTGATTCAGCTAGCACAGAAGTATTGAGACACCAGTTCAAAGCGTGGTTCACACTTGATTTCATACCAGTTTTGCAATGCCTTAAGGGACCAAGCTTTTAAAATGATGCTCTCTTCAAGAAAAAATCTATCATTACTCCCATTTGCATATGATGCAACCTATATGAAAATGCAAACTAGACTCAACCTAAAATGTGAATGCAACTACATGAGCATTTTTTGTGAAAATTTTTCAGATTTTTCCTTTTTTT